CCTCATGTGAGTGCTGGGGTGGGGGGCGGCCGGCCCGCAGGTGGGCGGGGGCCTTGACGTCAGAGGCCGCTGCCCCCCCAGACTCGCACCACCGTGAAGAAGCTGGCTGTGTCCCCCAAGTGGAAGAACTACGGCCTCCGGATTTTCGGCTTCATCCACCCGGCGAGAGATGGTGCGGGGACGGGGGTGTGGGGGGGACAGGGTGTCACGAAGCCCCCACCGAGCCCTGAGCCCTGTCCTGTGGCCTAGGAGATGTCCAGTTCTCCGTGGCTTCGGATGACAACTCTGAGCTCTGGCTGAGCCCAACTGAGAGCCCGGCGGGCGCCCAGCTAGTGGCCTTTGTGGGCAAGGTACCCCCACGCACAGCCCAGCCCCTCCATCCACACCCCTTGTCTTCGTGGGCCTCCTGTGGCTTGGTCACCTGTCCCCTCCAGCTTCTCAGGAGTGGGGACTGGATGGGGCTGGTGCCCCAAGGAGAGGGTGAGCCCCCTGCCCCTTCTCTGTTACCCTCCAGACTGGTTCAGAGTGGACGGCACCCGGAGAATTCACCAAGTTCAGCTCCCAGGTGTCCAAGCCTAGGCGGTGAGTGACTGTGGGAGTGTGTGCCCATGTGTGTGTCTGTGTGTGAGGACTGGGTGACACGTGCATGCATGAAGCCGCTGCTGCTATGCTGCCCCCTCAAGCCCCACCTCCTGTAGGCTCCCCATCTGTTTTGGTCTTCTGGGGCATGGCGGGCCCGCCCCCTCACTCCTCCCGTCCCCAGGCTCATGGCCTCCCGGAGGTACTACTTTGAGCTACTGCACAAGCAGGACGACCGCGGCTCGGACCACGTGGAAGTGGGCGTGAGTGCGGCTGCCCTCTGAGGGCTTCTGGAGACCCCACCTCCCCTGCCCTGCCCACCTCTTTCCGGCCACTCCCTGCAGGACAACGGTGTGGGCCCCGCCCCCCAGAGAAGCTTCCCATCTGGCTGACAGAGCAGATGCTCAGGGACGGGGCTTGTGCTCATAGAGGAAGTGACCCTTGAGCAGATTCTTGAGAGATGAGAGACATTCACAGGGACGCCAGTGGGGAGAGAATCTGGGGTGCAAAGATGAATTCCTGGTCTCGAGAGCAGCGGAGGGATGGAGCCACCTGGAGTCTTCTGAAACTCCAAGCAGTCTGGTGGCCAGATCAGCAGGGCTTCCTCCTGAGGATGAGGCAACTGGATCTGCATTTCAGGGAAAACCCTCTGGCCACTGCCTGTTGGGAGGGATTTTCGTGGGTGGCCATCCATCGGTCCCTGAACCAGGGAGGTGGGAATAGAAGTGGAAGGTCCGGGGGAGGGTGGGGGTGGGGCGGAGGGAGATGCCCAGCGACTGAGAGCCTGAGCCTGGCTGGGTGTGGGGTGATGACCAGGGTGGGCTAGGGGGTGCTGGGAGGTTGCAGGTGTCTGGTTAGTGTGTGGTGGGCATCACCCCAGCTCAGCTCAGCAGAGGGTCCAGACTGCAGAGGCAGATTTGGGGTGATTTTGTGGAAGCCGGGGGAGTGACTAAGGGCCCAGGATGAGCTGGGAAGGGAAGAGGGCCTGGGACAGCCCCCAGAAAGCGCAACATGAGAGCGGTGGGGGAGGGAGAGTCTGCAAGGGAGACTCTGGGAAGGCACAGCCACAGAAGTGGGGGTGGGGAGGTCCAGCGGGGAGCTGGGGGGCCAGCTCTGGCCTCCAGAAGGGCAGTGGCTGCAGAACCGGGGGGAGCTGGGGGCGAAGCACCCGGATGTCAGGAAAGGCGTCCTCACCTGCCTCCAGGGACGCCAGCCTTCCGTCTCCAGCTTCCCTGCTGTGCCTCCTCAGGACCGCTCTCCCATCCACCCCACCACCCCAAGCTTCCTGCGTCCGTGAAGGGGTTGCCCCTACTAGTTCCCCAGCCCCACGTCAGGGAAGATCCACTCCTCCCTGACCCAGCTGTGTTCCCACCTTGACCCCCATCCTTTGGCCCTGACCACCCTCTCCAACCCCCAGTGGCGAGCCTTCCTGCCGGGTCTGAAGTTCGAGGTCATAGGCTCTGCTCACATCTCCCTGTACACAGGTGCGGAGCCCAGTGCCTCTGTGGGGAAAGGGGGGGCTCCTGATGGGCGGTCTCTTTGGGGTGGTGTCTGGATATGGGCGAGGAGGGATCTCTAGGAGCTCCTGGGTCCCCACACATCCTCTGCCCCTAGATGAGTCGGCCCTGAAGATGGACCACGTGGCCCACGTGCCCCAGTCCCCAGCCAGCCACGCTGGGGGGCGCCTGCTGCAGGAGCCCAGAGCGGACATGCTGCAGCCCGACCCCCGGGACACCTTCTTTCTCAGTGAGAGGAGGCCCCCGGGGGCGTGGGGGGGCGGGGCGGGGGTTCCAGGTCACAGTGTGACCACGCCTCCCGTAGCGCCTCGGGTGGAGCCCCGGAGTCTGGAGAATGTGCTGGAGCCCTGCGCCTACGCCCCCACCTACGTCGTCAAGGACTTTCCCATCGCAAGATACCAGGGACTGCAGTTCGTAAGTGCCCCTCACCAAGGCCTTCCCTGAGACCCAGGGTCCCCGGAGCCTCCTCCAGGCCCTCCGGAAGGCGCCCCAGCCTGAGTCCCCTGCCCGCCCCAGGTGTACCTGTCCTTCGTTTATCCCAATGACCGCACACGCCTGACTCACATGGAGGCAGACAACACGTGCTTCTATCGCGAGTCGCCGCTGTATCTGGAAAGGTGGGTGGGCGGCGCCCAAGGGAGAATGGGCGGGGCCTCGGCCGAGCCTGGTCTCTGACGCCCCGCCCCGCCCCAGGTTTGGGTTCTACAAATACATGAAGGTGGACCGGGAGGAGGGGGAGGAAGACGAAGAGGAGGAGGTGCAGCGCCGAGCCTTCCTGTTCCTCAACCCAGACGGTGAGCGCCCCCCGCGCCGCCCACCCGCCCCCCCTCAGCTGGGCCCGCCCTGGCG